TGGCTTCATATATACCTTTTTAATTTTTAAAAGATTCACCAAATTAATCTTTTTGATTATTGGTGCTATCTTGCTGAAGACAAATGTACACTTTCCCAGCTTTATTTGGGTAATACATATAATTTTATTGAAAATAAAAATAATTTTTTAAAAAGCATCATGTTAGTACTCCTTAGAATAGCTCACAAAGTGCTTCATGACTATATTTCACTTTTTTCTACAACAATAGTAATATCAAATCTGGTCACTTCACAAGTAATAGATGCCAAAATATAAAAATGAGTGATTACCTTGATTCAGATTTAAACTATGAAAGTGAACGTCTAATTATGAAACAAGCAGTTGAAGAGTTACTTCTGAGCCAAATAAGACTATTTTTTGTTAAAGACAAAGGGTATTTGATCACATATGTGTTTAGTGACTTAATCTTGATACAAGAAATGCATACCCTCTTGGATTCATTTCCTAATGAATTAGTTGTTGCAACCTTGGGATTTTAGAGCCAAGTTACATTATTTATTTATTTATTTTAGAAATTGGTTGAGGGAAAATAACGAAATCATCCTTCTCTAAAAATTAGAATTACTTGAATACATAATGCAATAAGACAGCATAAACTCATATTTTATATTAAGAGACCCACCATGCAGCAGAAGTACTTCTGCTCATCAGTGGTTGTTATTCTGAGTCAGAAAGTGCCACGAATGGAATATTCCTGCCAGAGTACCACCCTAGCACTGCCTCCTTGCTGCAGCCCTGATGTGTCACTCATACTGAAGTCTGCCAATAAAGCTAAAGGAAGTTTCCTGCAATGTTAAGATCCAAACCTCACCAGGCCTCTGAAATCAAATGTTGTTTTTTTTTTCTTTTTCAGTACCAGTTGCCCAAATGTCTTTGGACGAGGTTTCTGGCACAGATTTGTTCAGGAAATAGGGTGGGAGGAACACCTATTTAATATTTTAAGTGAAAAAACACGCACATAAGAACATTATGCAATAACAGAAAACAAATGGTTGGCTAGTGGAGAACTTCAAGCCCACAACATTTGTGACTTTATTTTGTTCATGAGGTTTCAAGGTATAACAGCAAAAACTCATTTAGACTGCTTGATTTAATTGGCTTAAAATGAAACACGCCAGTGTTAGAATTGAGGACAAAGCTACTTATTTTCTGTTTCCAGTTACCAGTGAAAGAAAGTAATGGACAGCAGATTTTTCAGTAAAATAACAACAGTTCTACCCATTTTTGTCACTGAAGATCATAGTCTGGTATCCACCATATAGAAGAAACTAAGTTAACGAGGTCAATCGTTTGGGTTACCTATCTTGATTAACCCTACAAGTAAACATATTTATTATGGCGTATACCACCCTGAGGATTTACAGATTAAAATTTAAAACTTTTTTAACTTTATGAAATCTCTGTACAAACAGCAGCAGTTGTAGACAATTCTGCATATTGAAAGTCTTCATCGTAGTTGAAGAGCAAGCTGGAGCTGGCACTCTGTTACTACCTTAAAATTTATTTGAAATTTCATGCTGAACTTTAAAAAAACTATCATTTTCTGAATTTTTATGTAAAAGACTGGTTTTTCAACTTCAAACAATTTTTAATTTACTATTGAATAAAAATTGGTGCCATCTTCTAGGTGTAAGTACTTTCTTTCTGTGGTTTTAAGATTCATTATCCAACACCAAGAACAGTAAAATATACCAAGAGCAAAGTTCTAGACTCACTTCTGATTCACTTTTGTTTTAACAAGTCCCTTTGATAGCTGATTAATTTGAAGAGTAAATTCACATTAACAGTAAATTTATGTTATGCTAGGTTCTGATGTCTGTATAGGTATTACTTCAACATAATGTTGCCCTTTGAAATATGCATTCCAAAGGTGAGCACTCTAAACATAATAGTAAGAGTTGATTTGGATGTTTTTAGATTAAAATTCCTCTTATAATGACCTTCAAACTACAATGGTTCTTACATGACCATTACACACAAGTGGATGTGTCTACTATCAAATAGCAATTTTTCTAGACTAGAAGAATACCTTGTCCCTATAGACCACTAACTGCAGCTTGGGTATTATGCGAAATGACTGTAATCTGATCCACTCAGTCTTCACAGTGATCTTCAGATAAGAACACAATTTTCACCCCCACACCCTCATTTAAACTTGAGAAATCTGAGTACTAAAGAAGCTGGATTGTTTTCCCCATACCATAGCTTCCACATTGTGGTTCTAGAACCTGAGTTCAGAATTTTATTTAATTCCGGAATTTTAGTTATTTTACCCCCAGGTTGTAAAGTTCATTTCCAATATAATATCTTGTGAGTATCACTACTTGTTGTGATACTAAGGGAGTTTTTGTCTTTACTATAACTCTGTTTACTCAATGATGTCTTCCTATCAGTCAGAGTAAAACAAGGAAAACTAACTTGCATGACATGGATCTGTATTTAGGTATATTACAATTCCGAAAATGAGCACCTATTCTAAAATTACTTCTCTAGTAATAGCTATTTTTTCAATCTTACATTTGAACTGGTTTGACATGAAAGACAATGAATATTGCCATCAGATTTATAACACACATGACAATTTAAACAATTTACTGATAGAAATAGTTTTGATCATAAAGAAAAGAAAAGTTATCAATTACAGTATTTCAATGACATTTCATAATTTCATAATTTTTTTAGTGAAATGCATACTACTAAATTGGAATACCACATATATGCAAATCTGTGCATAAATACATATATAGATGAATAGTACTAAATCGTTTGAAAAGTGACTTTATAAGATATTGTCGGGAAATTTTATGCTGTGATTTTAAATGCCCACACATTGTTGAATACAGCAATTATTATTGTCAAGATACACTGGATCATATTGAGAAGCAGAAGATATACTTAGATTATATATGGAGAGAGACGATGTACACAGGAAAGTCTCATTAGAAAATATGAAAAAAAAAATAAATCAAGTAAGAGAACCCAAGTATTTTTTAAAGAGACTGATCTGTGATACAACACAAGATTGTTTTTCGAGAGTTTTGTGGGGTTTTTTTGTGGGGGGAGGTTGTTTGTTTGCTTGTTTCTTTGGGGGTAATTTCAAAGCTTTAACTAAAAGAACACATTATGAAAGCTAAAAATGGGGGAAAATAAGATTTTAATAAAATTACTGAGTAATAAATCAGTCCAAGGGGCTGGGAAGGTGGCTTAGTGGTAGAGCGCTTGCCTTGCATGCCTGAGGCCCTGGGTTCGATTCCTCAGCACCACATAAGCAAAAAGAAAAAAGCCGGAAGTGGTGCTGTGGCTCAAGTGGTAGAGCGCTAGCCTTGAGCTGAAGAGCTGAGGGACAGTGCCCAGGCCCAGAGTTCAAGACCCATGACCGGACCCCCCCCAAAACAAACAAACAAACAAACAAATAAATCAGTCCAAGAATGTAATTTAGAAAAATAAATACTTGCTATGGGTAAGGGTACTATGGAAGATAGCTTTCAACTTTTTCAGTTCTGCATGTTATATTTATTTATTTATTTATTTATTTATTTATTGTTTTGGGATAGTTTCACTGTAGCCCAGACAAGTTTCCCTCCTCAACCTCCAAAATACTGGGTTTATAGGCATTATCTACCGCTCTTGGCTTGTTCACCCTATTTTTTGTTTTTTTGGCCTTCATTAAACTTTCATGTTTCTTTCCCATCTTTCAGTTGTGCACTCCTCTGTTCAGCAATCTGTTCAGCAATCTATTCCGCCACCCTTGGGCTTCTCTCTCCCTTTCTTCAGTTCTGGGCACTGAGGCCTCCTTTGGGTGGCACTCTTGCCCTGCTCAGTCCTGCTTTTGTTAGAGAGAGATACTCAGTTACTTGCTGAACTGAAGGGAGGGAACTCAGTTGCACCCAAACTCACTCATCCATCCCTTTTTTCTCTTTTGTGAAATTCTCTGGCTGTGCCACTAAGGCATTAACAGCTTTAAAAATAGCAAATAATTGTGGAAGCCAATGCATGAAAGAAACTGGATTGAAGGGGGTTGGTAACCGACCATTAAGGGAAGCAAACTCCTAAGTAAGTCCTGAGAGCTCTATGCTCTGCACCTGGACCCTCCCAGAGAGCAGTACTGTGAACAGGACTTACAAGCCGACTTACTCATAAAAGTCTGTAGCAAGAAAAATAAAATAAAATAAAACAGTACCCTGGGCTCTTCTAAGATTCACTTCCCAGTGTACAAACATCCCAATTGAGCTTAAACAAAATAGCCCACACACATTCCATTTCTAAGGGAACTGCTTTCCTCCCTCGCTCCTTCCCTCCCTCTTCCTCTTTCCTTCTTCTCCCTCCTTTTCTTTTCCCTCCAAAGTTTGTTTCTCTTCTCCCCCTTAGTCTTCCCAAAGAAAATCCTATCAGTAACCATCCTTAACCAGAAACCTTAAAGAAGAAATAAAGTAACATAAAATAAAAAAAGTAGTAAGCTCTTCATAAACGGGATAGTGGCATCGTGAGGACTTCCCCTCCCACTCCCTCCTCGCGTCAGGACAGGAAGACTTCAAGGAGAAGTTCAAGTGTCCACCTGCCAAGGAAGGGGTGTCTCCTGTCATTTCCATCGCTGATCTTTTACCCTCCGCCCCCGGCAGAGCAGCTTGACCTTGGTAAAGCAGCCTCCCTTTAAGAGCTAAAGTACTCCAGCAGTTTTCTGTTTGTTTAATTGTAAAGGTGGTGTGCAGAGGGGTTACAGTAACACAAGTAAGGAAATGAGTTCAGTTCTTGTCGAACATTGTCACTCCCTCCCTCGTTTTCTCCCACTTCCTCCCCCCCACTCCCTCCCCACCCAAGTTGTAAAGTTCATTTCTAACATAGTGTCTTGTGAGCATCACTTGTGGTTTTTTTGTTGTTGCTTGGTTGGTTGGGTGTTTTGTGTTGTTTTGTTTTGTTTTAATGTGTCCTTCCCACCCAGATCTAGGAGAAGGGGTGCGAAGGCGGAGCCACGGGGCTGGCGACACCCAGTGAAGGGCCAGCTCCTGCCTGCCTGCCTCGCACCTAGGGGATTTGGCCCGGAGAGCGAGATTACCCTCTCAATGAAGGGCAGATGTCCCTTTAAGGTTTGCTTTGCAGCCCGTGGACTTTAGCCTAAACACCGACCCGCGAAGTTGGCTTTATTTGTCCATGTCTCGGACAGAGCCTGGGAGGCTGCCAGTTTCAGACCAAGAGCGCGAAGGGGCGGGCGATGTGGCAATCCGTCTGGGATGTGAAAACCTAGCAGCGTTCTACTGAAACCCAGGGAATCGCTCCTCGGTGTCGCCTGGGGCTGCAGCTGGCTGGGGACCAGGACCAGGACCGGCAGAGGCAATCCAAGTGGCCTAGAGCACACAGCGTCGGCGTGGGTGCTACCAGCTCCAGTCCCGTCCCGCCCCGTCCTGCCCGCGGACCCAGCGCGTCCGGGACCCGACGCTCCAGCCATGGCCCCCGCGCGCCTCGCCAGCCCAGGGGTCGCTGTCGCCTGCTGCTGGCTCCTCATGGGTGAGCTCTTCTGCTGCTCTCTGAGCATCTCCTGCGCTGGGTGGGGGGGGGGGGGGGGTGCGGCTCGGGGCTTGGGAGACAGGGGGAAGGTACACCGCGTGGTGGGCCAGGGAGGAGGAGAAGGGGAGCAGGGGCGCCCATCCACATTGGCCACCCCAGGTAGACTGGCCAGAGAGCCTGGAAGGAAGTTGAGACCGTTCAGTACTGAGATCAGTTACTTCTGGGGTTGCTTCAACCCCCTCGCGCCCACTAGTAAAACAGGAGGGCGGCACTGAAAACTTTCTAACTAGAGTTGGCTTGACAGGATACACTGTATTTTAGGAATCGGCTGAACCGCTCTGTCTCTTTGGGGTGGCAAGGGGTGGCTAGAGGGCGTCTGGTTGATATGCAGAGTTCCTGTCTTCAGGTTGCTCAGGCGTGGAAGACCTATTTTCTCGCTGTCTAGTGTTTAGAATTTTCCTTTTCCTGTTACAGACAAGGGAAGAGGAGAGGGGAGCAAATCTCTTTGTTGTCTCAACATGCTGTTTCAGGGTCAGAAAGCCAAAAGGAAGAACATTTTAACTTAGAGAAAGGAATAGTGAGTCTGGACTCGGTGAATATTTAGTAAGAAAAAAGAAAACTGTTCTTTAAATTACAAAATATACTATTGTTGGGTATAAATATGTATTTTTTATGAATGGGATTTTAAAAACCACAGTAGAAATACAAAGTTGTGTCCAATTTAGAAGAAAGTTAAATAGAGCATTCGCTATCTACGCCTTTAATGTTGCACATGGTTGAAGAGGGAAAGAGACTTGTGAGAGAAAGTGGTCAAGCATGTAAGTGCAGACAAAAGGCCAATCTTCATTGGTGGTTGGATTTAATATATTGTTGTTGTTCAATTATTTGGTGTTTTTACTGTTGGCACGCTTAGTACTAGTAGTACTAGTTATTTTTGCATTTTACTATAAAAATTGGGAGAAACCACCAGTTTAGCCCTGCTTCGGGTAGCCAAGCATTGCTAGTTTTTATGAAGATTTCCTTAAAATGTGTTATTAATGAGCAGAACTGTTTTGTTTTGTTTCCATATAGCTAGGTGGTATTAAGAGAGTTAATAATGAGCCACTGGTTTGTCATACAAACATCCTCCACTTCTCAGGAAGTGTGCAGTCCAAACATTGGTGACTTCAGAAGAACAGAGTGGCTTAATTGACCAGGGACTGCCACTGGCTTTTATGCATACTTGACCTGGGATTCCTTTCCAACCCAAATTGTTGTTTTTGTTGTTTTGCAAAATCTGAATAGTTTACTAATGACTCGTTTTTTTTTTAATTTTACCAAACCAGCACTGTTTATAGTTAAAAAAAAAAAAGGTTCTTTGAGGTTTTCATAACCTCTAAAAAGAAAAGAATGACATAATAAATCAAAAAATAAAAAAGAGGGAAGAAAGAGGAACAAGTCACGATTTCATGTACACATTAATGTAATATGGGAAATAAAAATAAGCCACAGATATTTCCAAGTAATAACATTTACTTACAATATGAATATACATATAATTCAATGTTGACATTTCAGTGAGCTCTTCTTGATCAGTTGCTCCTCTTTAGAAATCGCTTACCAAGTCATAGAATCCACAGTTAATCTGGAGTCTCATCAACATATCCATCCATGCTTGCTACTGCTCTAAGAACTTATTTCCACTCTGAATCCAACCTTTAATTCACTCTCTCCTGTCACTTGCATTGAATCTGAGGGGGATTGTTTGTTTGTTTGTTGTTATTGTTTTTTGTTTTTATTTTGTTCTTTCCCTGCCAGTATTGGGCTTTAACATGAGGCCTTGAGCTCTACTTCTCTTTTCTCTTGGTGTTCTACCACTTGAGTTATACCTCCAGTCTAGCTTTTTGGCTAACTTGGTTCATTGGAGATAGAGTCTTTCAGACTTCTCTGCCTAGGCTGGCTTCAAACTGTGATCCTCAGGGATCAGACTCCTGAGGAGTTGGGATTATGAATACTTGGCTTTGAAACTGAGTTGGCTGTTTTTTTGCTGCCTCTCAGATAAACTCTAGTTCTCAATTTACTACTCACTTAATCTACTTTACTACTCTTGCCTCAGTTTCCTCTGGGTAGAGTTATAGAATATCATATGTTCGCTGATTTAGATCAACATAGACTTGCTAGTTTCCAGTTCTATAGTCCTAAATCTCACTGGGCTAAAATCAAGGAGCTGTGCAGACATTTCTTCTGGAGGCTCTAGGAGGGAATGGAGAGACTCCTGCATTCTTTGACTTATGTTCCCTTTCTTCATCTTCAAAGCCATTTAGGTAATGTCTTCAAATCTTTCCTGCTGGCACTGGTTCTTTGTTATATCCCCTTCTCTATCTCTGACACTAGTGCCTCCCTCAAGATCTCTCCATTCTCACTAGGCTGCACTTTCTCTCAACAACCTTAATTTAAGCATAACTGCCAAGTCCCTTTGGCCATCTAAGGTAACATGCTGACAGTTTTCAGGCAACATAGCAAAGACATCTGTGGGCGCCTACTGATATGAAAACTTTCTCAAAGACAAAATCCTCTTTATATACATCCATGTTGTTTGACTTCTTTCACAATTCGTCTGTTCATCTTGACATTGTACATATGATCTTGTTATTTTATGCATGTAGAAGAGAACTCCACCCTTCCTTCCCACTATCCCCTGCCATCTAAATAAAATCCAGCCTTCAAAGTGGCACTTAGATCAGAGTAACAAATGAACACTGCCCCAATAAGTTTCCCACTGCATTTAAAATTTCTTGCATTAGCTTGTTACACCATCTTCATTTGTCAAGGAAGATTCCCCCGCCCTCTCTCCAAATAAAGTCTTCATTGTTATTTTATGGAAGTCCAAGTCCAGCATAAACTAGTGGCACATACAAAAGATCTAACTAACACAAGTTTCTTAAAGACAGAATTCATGGTGGCCTTAAGGGAAACAAGAAAGAGTAAAATTAGCACCTAGGTAAAGCCACAGTGGGGAGAAAAGCCATGATTACTCCTAAGCCTGAAGAGCTTAACTGTAAATATGAGCTATGTAGGGGGACGCAGTTTGAACTGGACAGAGCAGTATACTGGTCACATGTAGAAGAATGCAGTTAGTGACTACGCTGAAGCCCATCAAGGAAGGAGAGGAAAAATCAATACCCCCCCCTTTCCCTCTACTGTAATACCTTGGCCAAAACTCCCATCAACAATAGTCATATAGTAGGATTAGCCTTCCAGAGCACGAAGGTCCAGACAGAAGAGACATTGACACAGCCTAATGCTGTAACTTATTACATGCAAGAAACTTAATGTATACAATATTTATTTGTTTATTTGTTTTTGCTTGTTTATTTGAACCAGTACTAGAGCTTGAACTCAGTGTCTAGGTATTGTCCTTTAGCATTTTCCCTCGAGGCTGGTGCTTCCTCCACTTTTGGCGTTTTGGTGGTTAATTTGATATGAGTCTCTCAGTCTCCTGACTAGGCTGGATTCAAACAGCAATCCTCAGATCTCAACTTCCTACCTAGAGGAGATTGCAAACATGAGCCACCGGTACCTGGCTTACAATTTCATTGTAAGCTAAGGAAGTGTAAAAGTTTGCAACTCTTATCTATATTTTAGAGATGAAAAAAACAAAAGAATAAGGGCTAATATCATTTTTTCAAAGTTGTATTAGGATAAATTTACCAAAAACTCAGCTTTTTGATTCAAATTTCATGCTCTAGAATATTGCTATCTGTCAGTGCAGTCTCCTCTTATTTATACCTCTCCAGTGTAATCCAAAGATATTGTCTAAAAGACTTAGATAAAGTTGTAATTAATGATGCACATGCGTTTGTTATTTCCATGATTTCCATGAAATTAGTTCTAGCGCAGCAAGGTTTATTGTGAGTAAAAGCAAATTCAAAGAAATAATACTCCCTCAAAGGAAATTGAATGCTGGCAGCTTAACCAGTCAAATGCCCTAAGTTGTAGGCACTTTTATGGGTAGGACTGGGGTAAAAGAAATAGAGGAACATTTCAAAAACAGAGGAATAGCGAGTGGATTACTTAATGTGTCTTTGAAACCGCAGACATTAGATATGGAAAGGTCTCTGGCTAATCGCCAAAGAAGGGAAATTACTGTTGGGGAACTGTTGGCTACTGTACCAAGAAGTAGCTTCAACTGTGATCAGCCATAACTCCCAGATAAATGGTGAAACAGGATGTTTGTCAAAATGTACCCGGATGGGGTGTTACACCTGTCCTCTGGCTCCTTTGTTTTATTGTTCCTTTTTCTTTCTGGCTAACTTTCATCTATTCATATCTTTGGTTATTAACAATATAAATCTATATTTAGTCTGCTATTAAGTTATCAGTTTATCTTCTGTAGAAGCATTCTTATACACCTCGAAACCCAATGTTCTTCCAAGACTTTTTCACAGGTAGGATTTCCTATCTGGAATAAAGTCCATTGAGACAAAGCTAAAGAAGGGGAAGAAGTCACTCAAGAAATGATCTCCAAGAGCAAGCTGTATTGTTAGGGAAGGCTGAGGATGGTGAAACTTAGCTCTAAGTCATCATCATGTTTGTAAAAAGCAACAATGGGATTTATTTTCTGTTCTTTGTTTACTAGATAGAAAATGAGAATAACAATGGAATATGCTTGCAAACTTGTTTGCCTGCTTTTCTTCTGTTATTATAATACTAATTGTCAATCTTCATTGTCACCTGATTGAATTAAGAAATGCCGGAAAAATTAATGAAGCATACTTCTGTGTGTGTGTGCCAGAGTTTTCTACAGGAAAATGATCTAATGAATGGTTTAATCCATTGAGGAATTTAAAATTACTGAAAGTTGGGACGACTTCCTGCATGGTTGTAGGAAGTAGGTCACAGGATATTTGTTGAAGGCTAAATAGTAACCTTGCCTTCCTGAAGGATTTATTATATGTCATTTTAAAAAGAATGATTTTCTTTTTGTCAGTCATAGGGCTTGAACTCTGGGCCTGGTCACT